ATATAGTCACTAAACAGTTAGTTACAATAACAATTAAGACAACGTAATTAATGAACAGTCCATAAATTTATTATGTCAATTTCTCGGACATTCAGGCCGGTAAATGTTGTTTATACTGTTTATTATAAACAGAGCATTTACATAAATATTTGTATCTATAAAAAAAAAGAATGTATGAATATAAAAACGTCTTAAAATAATTGTCGGACTTTGTCCATTTCATAATGCGTGACATATATATATATATATATATATATATATGAGTTTACGTTGTGGTCAACACTCAGCGGCGACAGTTTGTTTCACGGTTAGATCCAATCTTTATTATCCTCATTACTAAAGTCTTCTTTCTCATTCTCTTTCACTCCAGTAACCGTTTGCGTCTTAGTGGCATTGTTACCTTCTATGGGGTGAAATTTTAAAAAAAAACACACATTTCATATATTATTTCAAATATTCAGATAATACGTCAGATATTCAAATAATTTCAAACGTCATTTCTGTCTTTTTAATTCCTGTTCACATACTGTTCTCTCTCGATTCTTTTTTTGTTTTTCTCATAACCCACTTGCGTCTTAGTGGCTATATTGCCTTGCTTGGAGTAAAATCGTTAAAAAAAAAATGCTATTAAAAATCATAAAATGTGAATTAAGCGAAATCACTCAACCCTAACCCTAACCCTGATCTTTTAAGTCCGGCCATCATTCAAACATCTGCCTTTTAATAACACTTACACTACATTGTCAATATTTTTCGGCAACGGAGGACACGCATACCAAGCAGATCGGCTTAACTACTCGGTGGCTTGGGCGGCCGTGTAGCCTTCCAGAAAACCCTTGGTAAAAGAAAAGGAATGCACTGGGAAGTGGGGGGTGCGGAAGGAAAGTGAAAACTGACCAGGGATTTTGAAAGGGGGTAAAAAATATAGGATTCTGATCTGTGACCTTTGACCTGATGGGAGCGTAATAAAGAAAAATTGAATGAGTTACCTTTTGTGTCAGATTTAATCTCATAGGTAACGACTCCAGTAAAGATATGATAACCCATCGATATACGATACCAGCGACACACCCGACAAAATTCATTCGTAAGGATTCAAAAGCGCTGTACCTTTAAGTTAATAATATCCTGTCAAAAAAGAATCTGAATTTGAATTCATATATATATATATATATATATATATATATATATATGTTTGAAAGGTGTGAATCCTCCTCTTCTCCCTCCAGCTATATTTATAAGTTTACTATTCGTCCATGCTTTGAATATTGCTGTTACATGTAGTCTGATGCTCCTACTATATATTTAGAGATCCTTGATAAAATCAAAAGAAAAATCTGCAATATTATTCATCCTGACCTAGCATCACGGCTTCAATCACTTTCCCGCCGCTGTAACATAGCTTCTATAGGGTTCTATAGCCTTGGATGGCAACTGGTCTAGGAGAAGGACAACTCTGAATTCAAAACCTGCGGAGGGTCGTTTGGAAACCTTGTGACACGTAGTGCACCAGGTCTCTGTATTCGTCCCTTCAAAAAATGTGGATGGTCCTGCACGAAACCTTCACCACTATATCAAATCTCATGTGCTGTTGTCGGGCTGTCGGTTTCCTGGGAACTTATCTGCTTGACCCTCATACGTCGAAGTCGACGGGAGAATCGATTTTCGATTTTTCGATTATATATATATTACATATATATATATATATATATATATATATATATATATATATATGAAGAAATATAGTCTTAAGATGTGCTATATTTATGGGATAAAGTGCTCAATATCAGAGATAGAGCGTGTGTAAATATAAAAGTGAACATAGAAGTCAACACTTAGAGGCGACAAGCTGTTTCATGCTAGATGCAATCGTCAGGGTGGCAAAAAAGTCCCTATATAGTTACTTATTATAAAAATGTAAAGCATTGAAACAGGTGGCTTGCAGTTCAAATAATATCAGTAATTAATTTATTACTGATTACCATAACATTTTATTGTTATTTACCAGAATTAACGAAAAGCATTTTAATAATAAATTTATGGATTATTCATTAATTACGCTGTCTCAATTGTTATTGTAACTAACTGTTTAGTGACTTTATTGATGCCATACATACATACATATATATATATATATATATATATATATATATATATATATATATATTATAATTATTTTTCAAAAATATGATTCCATCGCTACATAAGAGTTCTCGTGTTTCAAAAACAGGAGCTAAAAACTACAATCTAAAAACTACAATTTAATTTTTTTTAATCAAAAAAATTTCGCTTGAAGATGAAACCAAGCTGGATACTTTAATTCAATTTAATTTTTATAATTAAATTGAAGTTTTTAGCTCCTGTTTTTGAAACATGTGAACCCTTATGTAGCGATGGAATCATATTTTTAAAAAATAATTATAATTTAAGCTCTACTTATATATTAAACACTTTAAAAAAATAAAATAAAATAAAAATACTAAAGAACTTCGGATTATTA